ATTCAATTATTTATTTACTTATTTAAATAAATTATATTTAAGACATAGGTGTCTTAAAATGAGGACTAATAGACTGAGAAAGTTTATTTTCCAAGGCAATAATTGTCTTGAATCAAACAGTACATTTGTGATTTAGTTCTATGTATAAAGTGGCATTTTTAAACTATCTAACTTAATATATGTTTTAAATAGGTTTTAGACTAGGTTTTTAATTATTATTATTTTTATTATTTTACTTTTTTAATACTGTGTAGTGTGATTGTGATGTAGTGTTTGGGGCACTGTGCTGGAGTAGCTTTCAAATTTCATTGTATTTTGAATGCAATGACAATAAAGGTATTCTATTCTAAAACATTTATATAGCCATTCATCTTCTAAACAGATCTCCAGATTTCTCAATGTGAGAATGTTTTAATCAGTAATGTGAAAGCATTACTGATTAAAACAATATTACAAACATGAGCAAAAAGGAGGGAGGGGGAGAGAAAGGGAGGGAGAGGGAAAGATCTCCTGAGATATTAAATATATCTTTCATCTTTCCTAGAGATATCTGTGAACATATATAGACAAAACCAAGGCCCATGGCTACATGCAATGCCTGAAAACTTTTTATATAATGCCCAAAGGCCTTTTATAAGTTACCAAGTTCTCATAATTCTTAATGTAATAACTGTCAAATTATTGAGTAGTAAATTGTTTAATAAATCAACAATAATCACATGAACTATTTATTTTAAAAAGTTTAATATGCACTTCAGTTTTTTTAATGTTTCTAGCTGTACCTTTTTGAGGAGGGAACTAGGCATCAGCACTGTCATTCAAAGATCCCGACATTTAAAGCAGTGGCCCCCAACATTTTGGGCACCAGGGACTGGTTCCATGGAGAAAGATTTTTCTGTGAGCCAGAGGGGGCGTGGTTTTGCGTGCTGCCTGCATCCTGTGGATGAGCCCAGTTGCTGGCATGCCGTGGACGGTGCCAGTCTGTGGACCAGAGGTTGGGGATCTTGATTTAAAGGCATGCTACAGGGACCCAAACAGGCAGTCCATACAATCTCTAGTTTGTAAGGTCACTTCTAGCAAACAGAAATAGTAGCTGGGGACAAGCATCTGACGGTGCTTGGTCAGCTTTACTCATGTTTATGGCTATTCACCATAGGCCGCAAACCCCAGAAAAATTGCTGTGCTTTTCCTATGGAAGGCCAGAAAGAACATCTCAATCCTACCAAAACTGAATGATTGTGGCTTTTGGAACTAACTAGGTTCAGGGATTTTCCTCATAGTTTCTGTGTGGCCAATATGATCTGGCACAGTGGGTGTGCTCTGGGTCTCCTTGATTAAACAGTGACATTTTTCAGGAGGAAGAAAGTATCCTTTTCTGTGGTAGAATCTGCTCTCTGGAATGAGGTCTCCTCTGAGATCCATACACCCTGGCAGTCCCAAAAAATCTTGAAACCTGGAAGTTTTACCAGAGAAGGGTTAATAGAATTTCTGATGTTTTTATATGTTCTGGACTACTGCAACATTCTGTACATGAGGCTACTCTTGAAGATTTGGAATCTATAGCTGGTATAAATTGCAGCTGCAAGGACAGTTCTTAGGACTATTAAGGTGATGTTACATTGCTGTTGCACAAGCTGCATTGGTTGCCAGTTTTCTTCCAGGTCCAATTCAAAGTGTGGCCCTTTATGGCATAGATCCAGGTAACCTAAATAACTTGTCTTCCCCAATGAATTGGCCTGCCCCACCTACATGGGGCAGGTGGAAGAGCATTTTGAAGGACCCCATCAGTCAAGGAATTTTGGCTGGCAGGGTCTAAGAGAAGAGAGTTTTTTCTGCCATGGCTCCTGCCTTCTGGAGTCTGGAACATTGCGCCTCCTGACGTAGCACCTTGTTGGCCTTTCAAAAGAGCTTGAAAACCTGGCTTTGCCAAATGGCCTGGGACTCTAACTGAGGCATATGATACTGAAGGTAGCTAATAGACTGAGATAAGACACCACCTCCATCCTGTGTATCTAGCTCCCTCCTTTGCCCTGTTTGTTCATTTTAAGTCAATTTTAAGATTAATGAAATTAATGAAATAATTATAATGTTAATCTTTATTATTTTAATGTTTCATGTTCTCAGCAATTTCTTCAACTCCCTATGTACAACTAAGTAGTTCCCTACATTGAAATTTACTTCTCTGCCCTTAAATTTTGGCTGGATCATTTGATGCTACTAAAAATGAAGTTTTGATTTAAATTCATAAAGAGGAAAAAAAGGAAATCTGAAATAGGATTTGAAATTAACTATAAGAATTCTTCCCATGGGGAAATACTGTTGCTTTGAATTTAAAAAAAGATGATAATTTGAAGGCTGAACACTAGAGGGAACACAAGGAATTAAAGATTACAATAAAAGAATAATTAAATTTGATTTATTCATACAGAATGGAGTAAAATTGTCCTTAACATTGAGAATTATTTGTGAACAATGGATCTTGAAGTAACTTTTAAGGATGTTTGCTGTAATAGTTTAATGCCATAATAGATAGTTTAAAAGATGTGGGAGAATAAGACTGAGGCTGAATTGAAAGAGGTTTTAAAAATGACAAGCTATAAGAATGATATGGGAAAATGTATTAAAAATCAATGTTAAGTAAAAGAAATATAAAGTTTAATTGATCACAGTTAAAACAGATATGTTGTTATTTCTGGTAATCCTTAATGGACTTTTTCTGACAAGCACTGAACAAAGAGGCTTTAAGGATTTGTTTATAGATATGAGAAGAGATCATTTACTGTATTTTAAAAGATTTTTTACTGTATTTCTTTTTCATTTTTACTTTTTGCTTGTGATGAAGTGGGAAATCATTTCTTAAGGTATTATGGTTGGCTTATGCCTAATATCAGATTATGGTTTGCTTTTTCTTTATTCCAAGCAGTGATCTAAAACCAAGAAGTATGGTATATAAATTTAATATATTACTACTATTACTGTTCAAGTCAATGTGAAGTCACAGAATGATGCCAGTTCATTAACTGGCATTGGTGTTCATACACATCAAGTTCTTCCCAACAACCTAGGATGTCCTAACGTATCAGCATAATATATGTGAGGATCCAAGCAAGGTGGCCTTTTGCAAATGACAGATTGTAATTTTGTCAATGTGCAGATTTTCTAAGTGTTATCCAAAATTTTTCAGTATGGCACTCAAGTGTGCTGATTATTATCAATAATAGCCTATTACTTTGGATGAACAAAGCCACAAGTCTAAGCAATGGATGGAAATCAGTTCCCAGCCCTGTTTACAATTCTGATTTGATGATCACTCATAAACTTACAACTTACAATATATAGTGGTATAGATATAATAATGGCATATCAAAATAAATACATTATATTGTAAAAAAAAAAGTTATGTGCAACAATCATATTATCACCGTGAAACCTTGAAATGAATAAGGACCTTGTATTTGCAGGAAAAAGTTAGGAAGAAAAAATGTTCATTATGTTACAATGAAACTGTTAGTCTAAAATATCACAAGATGCAACAACCATCTCTCTGAAAACATTCTGTGTGGGGAGAGGGAGAGGGATCCACTTTATTACTCTACAAATAGTTACATCCACAACAAATCAGAACTTTTAATTGAGTATAAATACATTTTAATTTGAGGTAAGAAAACTTCATTCAAAACCACTATAAAACCAGAGAGTTATAGGTAACAAATACTAGAACTATAGGAAGATCATTTCTAAAGACTTCTGGAAAGGATCCTTTTGAGCTCATTGTCAATCAATGTAACCCATTGAATTGAAGAAAAATGGTAAAAGATTTAAATTATGTAAGTATCATGAGAATGGCATTTTTAAGGTCACAGGAAGTTTTGGTAAGTCACCAGGAGTTGGGCAGCCATATAATTTTTTTTAAATAAATAAATTATATGCTTCAGTAGCTAAACAAATCAAAATATACCCAATCAAGTAGATGCAGCCCATCAAATAACATAATAATGTTATTATGTTAGGACAGGCTTTAAGGTATAGTACCTAAAAGCCAGCAAAACAACTGTTTTTATAAGGTATTAGGTGACTTTGGCAGAGTTAAATCAGGTCACACTATTATCCTAGGAATGTGAAGAATGTATATTTCTAAAGTGTGGGGGGATAGTAGATGTCTCTAGAAAGAAAGCAAGTATCAGGCAATACCAACGTTACATCTGGTTATATAGCACAATGAAATTAGGCGGGAGAAGGTCTTTTCCGTCTATTCCGGCTTTAAAAAATAATAAAGAGAACCAAACACACCAATAACCGCAGAATAGAAACAACCCTAAAACCCCGCGAAATCAAAGGGGAAAAGCCTTTTTAAGAAATATTTTTAGTGATAAATAACCAGATTTTCTAAGACGATGGAAAAGCTGTAATTCACGAACAAGCCCAGCTGCCTCTGCTTGGACTACCCAGAAACGAGAGGAAACTATTTCAAAGAGGGCAAAAAGCCAAAGGACCTTTCGGTACTCTCGAGTTCGTACAGGATGAAGGGAGAGCGAAGACGAAAACGGGGAGAATTTTCCTTGGGATCCTTTTGTTGTTGTTGTTGTTATTTACAAATAAATACAGCCAGAAACGAAAAATGGGACACACAGAGACAGAAATACGCCACTTTCCTTCCTTAGTTTGAGAAAAAACGCCACGAAAGGTAATTCGACCAAGCTGGACTGGACAACAAGGCTTGACTTCTGACTTTTCACTCGAAAGCCCAGGTCATTTTTGTTTAATTCGTTTTGTTTTTTTTAAAATTTTTGGGGGACCCCTTGGCGAAGCCCCCGATGTCTTCCCCAGGCTGCTTCTGCCTTCGCGCAAGAAGAAACGGCCCTCTTCCTCAGCAATAACAAGCCTTTCTCTTCGGGTTTCCCACCCGGGCCCCGCCGAGAGCGAGCGAGCAAGCGAGCGGCAGATAAACAGGCTTGCCCGCTCGCCCGGAGCGGCACCCACCTTGCCCGCCTCCACCTCACCTCTTCCGGATCTGCTCGCTGGCGAGCCCAGGCCTCAAACGCAGCACCGGCGTGGCGTAACGCGAACATCCGACGCCGGCTCTCTTTCCCCCCCTCCCCACTCCCGCTTTCCCGGCCGAGCGGCCCGTGTGTTGGGGAAGCGAGTACGACGAGCCGCCGCTACCAACCAGCCGCCACTAACGACCAGAGGCGGCGTGCGCCGTGAGGGTTGGCAGGGAGTTATGCCCCGCGGGCGACGCTCCGCAGCCAGTGCGGCATACCGGGGGGGGAGGGGGGGCGGGAGTCTCCCTGGGCGCCGGGCTCGCGACTTGCCCTCGACGCCGCTCCCGCTTTACCGGAGCTCCAGCTGGAACAGGAGAGCTAGCCGCGGCGGCCTTTCCTCCCCCCCCCTCCCTCCGGTCTCCCCACAACCATCCGCCGTCTCCCGTCTGGAGCGCCCCCTGCTGGGCCGTGTGCGGGACGGCTGGAACTAGCCGAAGGGCTCCTGCTGCTCTCTCTGGCCGACGAGCAAAACAGGGGGGGGGAAAAAAAAAACAGGGGAACCACATACACACACACGACACTTTCTGAGGGACCCTGTGGGGCGCATCTTCCTTCCAGCGTTACCGCCGCTCCGGGGATGCTGAAGGGGGGGGGTGCTTCTTGACTTACCTGCGATGCTGCCTTGGCTTGCCCGAAAGAGTTTCTCCTCCCGGTGAATCCCTTGGGAAGGGCTGGAGAAGCGAGCTTCAAGAAGCGGTCGGCCACCACAGCTCTCTAGGCCGGTTTACATCCCCACTTTATATAGAAATATTTGCCTTGCCGAGGCTTTCCAGAGAATGCTCTCTCTCTCTCTCTCTCTCCTTGGAGCCTCAGGAAAAAAGTCCCCGAAAGCGACGTTTAAATTAAACGTGTAGAACAATCCAGCCTGAAAGCGAATCCCCAAGTTCTCCTGGGAATCGCGGGCGTGCGAAAACCAGAAGGTGAATTCTCAAAAGGTGAATTTAAAAGGAGGCAGGGCGATTTCTCTGGCTATCACTAGAAAGCCAGCTAATCTCAGGAGCAAGAGTCCAGCTCTTTCTTCAAAAGGCTTATTATCTTGAATTTAAAATATAAACTTGAGGAATGTGGCCCTCAAATAACCAGCAGTTTATCTAATCAAGACATAGTAACAAAAAAACACGCAAAAACCCTGTGGCAGATAAAGAGTGCGGTGTTACCTCATATATTTTTTAATTGCAGCGATTAAACTTCAGCTTCCAAAACAAGTTCTGGCATATGTGTATATTTCGAGCTGTTCAAATGGCTTGCATACAGTTTTTCTTTTTAAATAGGACAGTAGTTGCATTGCACATCATTATAAAAGAGTACCGCACAGTAATTCTAGTTATGTTAATAATATGGGTGTGTTATGTGATCCTTTGGCACGTTTCAGGGCGAATCATCATTTCCGAAACCATATAAGTTCTTCATATTACACATAAACAGAGAAATAGTGACTTGCTTCAGCATTTCTCCTAAGTAGCTAAAATAACAGGAAAAAGCAATGGACTGAAAATGATAAACACGCGCTGAGTTGGAAATTAAGCAAACGGAAGGTCATCATAGAAACTCCAGCTTTAATTGAAAAAGATTTGTGATGACCAGTGTAAATTTGTTCCAATTGTGAATTGATTCCTTGGGAGTGACATAATCTAAAGAAAATAATTGAGATGGAATAAGTTTAAGAGGATGTACTTATTGGTCTTCAAAGTGTGTTCAAGTGTGATAGATTTTATAGTAGTGACACTTTAGAAAGCCAATCCAAAGACACTTTGGAAAAGCCAATCATGATGTTACAGTGAATTTGCACTTCAGTTTAAACAATGTATTGACTTGACCATATAAATGTTTTCCAATTCCGATGTAAATACTGTAAAAGGAATTTTTTTCCTGGTTCCAAGTTCTTTGCTAAATGTTATAATTTGCTACCACCGGTTTGGATCAAACGTATGCATAGATTTTTTTAAAAAAAAATGGAAATTGTGGGCTAAATTTATTTATTTATTTTGTCAAAAGCTTACAATACAATAGAAATAAGAATAAACATAAGTTTAAATATAAGAAATAGGAACTAATAATTGGGGACAATAGGACAGGGATGGTAGGCATGACTGTCCGCTTATGCATGCCCCTTACAGACCTCTTAGGAATGGGGTGAGGTCAATAGAGGTTAGTTTGAGGGTAGAGGAGTGTGGGCTTGAGCAGGTGACAACAGAATCAGGTAGTGAGTTCCAGACATTGACCACTCTGTTGCTGCAATCAAGTTTGGAGTGGTTTACATTAAGTTTATATTTCTTGTGTGCTGGAAATCTTCATACAAAAGAATGAGTTTGAACAACAGTACTCTGCTTCTGGTTTAGTTCAAAAACTGGCATTGGCCTCAATGAGAGTTTTTGTCTCCATACAAAATAATCAGTCCTCTGGTGTTGGATTCTATTAAATACACTTGTGTACATTAAATATCAATGTACCCAGTCAATGTATTTTATAATTTCAGGTTTGGTGTGTTGTGATGCATACTCAGCTTGTAGTTCATGCCTAATGTATGGCTTATGTGTATGGCATGTGGCAAGACCCACAATACACTATTTTTTCAATGGTTTACCAGTCATCTCTTACTTTGATCACCACTGACATATACTTCCTGTTTGTTTGTGACATATAGAAAATCATAACCTGATCTGGTTTGAACCATAGTAGATACTGGAACACTGAGTTTTTATCTACCTTGTGATACCCATGTTTCACTGTCACACATCTGTAAGGGGAGGAAGTATAAGAGGAACAAGAGAAATACAAGTAGTCCTCAACTTGTGATCACAATTGAGCCCAAAATTTATATTGTTAAGTGAGAAAATTGTTAAGTGAATTTTGCCCCATTTTACAACTTTTCTTGCCACAGTTGTTAAGTGAATCACCATAGTTGTTAAATTAGTAACCCAGTTGTTAAGTGAATCTGGTTTTCCCATTAACTTTGCTTGTCAGAAGTTTACAAAAAGGGATCGTGTGACTCCAGGATACTGCAACCATCATAAATGTGAGTCAGTTATCAAGCATCCGAGTACACTTGGCCAATAAAAAATTATATTCTATTCATAAATCACATGACCATGGGGGTGCTACAATGCTCATAAGTGTGAAAAATGGGCATAAATCACTTTTTTCAGTGCCATTGTAACTTTGAATGGTCACTAGACAAACTGTTGTAAGTCAAGGACTGCCTGTAGTAGTGGCACTCCTGCTTTGAAGCTTTGTATCTAAAAGCTTGAAAGATGAGATAATAAAAACAAATGTTTGTTACAATAAATTAAAAAGTGGCATATAAGATAACTTTAACATTAGAAATAAGAAACATAATAAAACATATTTAATTACGACAAATTAATCCTGAAAGATTATGCAACATTTTTGCAAACTAACATGAAACAAATTCTTGTTTCAAATTAAGCGTACATAATTAATATGTTTGTTTCATTTTTTTAAAGCTCATTTCAGAATAACTTGATTCTCATTGTTAAATTCATGTCAAATTCTGTTTTTTTCTCCTTCCACTAGATAATAGGAATGATATCAAAGCAGTGTTACAGCTAGAATATTCCTGCTGACTAAAAGGTGAATGTGATAGCTGATTTCCTCCTCTTTCTTTGGTTACCAATACAATCTGCCTCAGTGGTTAGAAGATCCTACTATCTTCCAAAACAGATATTGAAATACCAAACTCCTAAGAATTACAGCATAAGCTATTGCATCATTGTATTCCTTCATAGATGGAAAAATCACTTTAATTTTGGGGTAACAAATTGTGGAGCTCATTAAAAAAGCACATGTGATAAACATTGTGATAAATAATAATTCCTATTTAGATTACCTTTTCATCATTAATCTTCCAAAACAGAATCTATTTGTCTTTTCATAGCCACTTTTTATATGATGAAGTATTGGCACATCTGCAATATTATGCATAGTTATGTGAAGTTTACATTCAAGGTGTCAATGGAGTTTATTTCTAAGGAAATATAAATTGAAAAGGCCATTTTGACCATCAAATCCAATACAGGAATCCAGATTAAAGCATTTTATAAAAATGGTTGTCCAGCCTCTGCTTCCATGCATTCGGTGAATAGGAGCTCTCCGTGTCTCTGAGTAACATTTCACTATCAAACTGTTCTTGCTGTTAGGAAGTATTTCCTGACATTCCTTTGGAATCTGTATTGCTGTAAATTAAATCTGTTATTCTGTGCCCTGCCTTCTAAAGCAAAAGACAGCAAGTCTTCTGTGTGACATTCTAGCAAGGCTGTATGATACCTTGACAAAGCCATGCTGACTTTTGTTCCTGTTTGTATTGTTTTCAAGGTGCTTACAAATCAATTATTAAGTGCTCTGGAATCTTCCTAGATTTCAGTATTAAGCTGACTGGTGTGTAATTTGCTGGATGTTCCTCCCCGGATGTTCTTCCTCCACATACTTTCTTTAAAGATAAGGACAGCATTCTTTTCCCGTCATCTCTTGGTCCCTTTATTAATTGTCCAGAATTTCTCAGACAAAAGCATTTGGTCAGACCACCAACTAATTCTTTCAGTACTTTTGGATGTAATTCATTCTAGTTCTGGATTTTTGAACTTCTTTAAAATAAAGATGATTACCTGGTTATGTCTTTTTAACCAATTTCAAATTTCAAACTTGTCTTTTTATCTTGTTCTTCACAACTTTGTGGTGGAATATTTACTTTTTTGTGTGAAAAAGACTGAAAAAAATTAGTTAAATAGCCCTATTTCTCTTTGCTATCTGTTCTCATTTCGTTATCTTCATTGATAGGTGTGCTCAGTGTATAAAAGGGTACTACAAGTAATCATGGATATCAATGTCACATGATAATGCTTTAATATTATCAGTGTGAACAAAATATCAATCCAATATAAAAATATTTATTGCAAGACTACATAGAATTTCACACTGTATACATATGATCTTACTAATATATCTATGTTGACTTCCCCAAGTTAGAGCTGTTACTTTATTTGCCTTTGTATTAACAAAGCAATTAATAATCTTGGTACAGTTTGTAGTACTATGTTTTAATATATTTTTTTACTCTTCCAGTGAAAACACCTAATGCAGACATTATCTTTCTCTGAATCTTAGGAGACTGTTCCATACATGACCCAGCATGAGAACGAGCCATCTATTGTTTTGCAAGAACTACATGAATGAGGAATTTGTGAGGAATTACATTGTCCTCAGTCCACCTGTAATTTGCTGGGAAAGTGACCTCCTTCTGAGTTTTCTAGTTGTGCATCAAACGTACAGTATTGTTTTTCGTCTTTGTTGCTAGAAGCAGCGAAGTCTGGTTTG